TGCAAGTGAATTAATTCACTTGCACAGTGTAAATGAGGCCTCCTAATTGTGATAACAAATGAAGAGGAAATAGCGTACCTGTTCTGTTAGAGGCAGAGGCGCGAGAGACGAAGGTGCAGCGCGGGCTGGAATGGATGTGGGTGATTTTCGCCGGGAATGAGAATGAAGGTGTTGGCTTCTGTGGGTGCTGAAAAACAATCTTTGGGTCGTTTTCTGCAGGAATGAAGACCACAGCCACTGATTCCTTCTCCGTGTAAATTGGATTGATTTCTTTTCTACTCTATTCTGTAATTTTTGGGTGTTTCTTTGGTATTTTACTGGTTCCTTCTGTTTTGCCTCTGTTCTTGCTCTGTTTTCTTTGTTCCTACTCTGTTTTTTCGTTTTTTTTTCCCCCTCCTGATATCTGTATTTATAGTACAAGAGTCTCATCCCTTGCGAGAAGTAAAGTCTCAATCAAACTCATTCTCTTTTCTGAAGTTCGAATTAGAATCGAATTCAAAAGCAGACAACTATCATTATCTTGAGGATTATCTTGAAGAAGATAAGGATTATCTTGAAGATAAGGCTAGAATGACAAAGGCACATTGTAGTCCTTAATTTTCACGAAAGTTGACAAATCAGTCTTTTCATCGAAATAAATCTTTGATCTTTTAATTTTTCATTTTAAACCCTGTAAAAATTAAATTAAAAGCCAAAGAGCCAAAATTGGGTTATGACACTGTCATTGCCATGATGCAATTTTTATAAAAATAAAAAGTGGACATGCAGCGTAGCGTGGATCAACTAACTAATTCATTACTAAAACATAAAAAGATTTAAGATGTCATGATATATAATTTTTTTTAAAACAAAATTGAAATACTCTCATATTTTATATTAAACTAATTACAATACCTTTTTTTGAATAACAACGGAAATCTTTTCGGTAACTAGTTCACAAGAACTTGTCAGGAATTTAATTTTGGACACTTAATATATATTTTGATGAGTTTAATCTACTACCAAGATTATTAACAGTATATTATGTAATTTATCACTACATATATTAATTTATTTGATAGTTCTGATTTTAAAAAATTAAACATACTATTATATTCATTTAATCTCTTAGTTTTATATATATATATATATATATATATATATATATATAATCAAATTAGATACTTTAACAGCTAAGGGTAGAATAGTAAATCTATCCACATTCCTCGTGAATTTTCAATAATAAACCAAACGCAATAAAGATGCATTACTAATAAAAAAAACAAATATTACATTTTTATTAACTATATTCTCAACAATTACATCTTGGAGGATGAAAGATATCTAAAAAATAGAGTAATTTAGTAATTAATAATATTATATTAATTATTTTAATCGATTATTTAAAAAATAAAAAATGAAAAATGAAATTTTATATAGAGATATTTAAAAAAAAAATAAACTCAGTAAAATAGCTAAAACGATAGCCATAATTATTTAGACAGAAACATTTTCCCAAAAATCACATACCAAACACCCTCAAGATCCAGCACCCTCGCCCAAATTGGGTTAAGAGAACAAGAAAGCCGGCCTCTAGAAATAAAGGCCCATCGCCACCAGTTCTGAGCTCATTATTTTTGTCTCAAGGGTTTCTCCAGATATAAGAAGAAGGGAAAAAAAAAAAAAAAACACGCTCGCTTGGGATTCAGAGGCGGTTGCCGTGTTTTTGTCATGTTGCTGTCTTGTTGCCCAAGTTTTAACATAGCATTATAAAAGTATTATAATGTAATAAAATTCTCCAGAAACAGAAACACACCGAGTTTCGAACTTTCAATTGTCTTCCAGGACCTTCACTTTATTTTATTTTGTAGATAAAGTGCCATTTCTACTTCTTCTTTTAAAGCTTCAAGCTTAAGCAGCTGTTAAACAAGGCTGGTTTCTTGCTTCTTTTTTGTTTTTTGTTTATCTGGGTTTTGGATTAGAATTGAAGAAGTTTCGTTCGTTATATTGTTGATTTGTTTTAGTAAGTATAGGAATAAGAATGTTGTATATATTTTTGCTTGGTTCGATTTTAATTCAATTTTGCTTTGTTGATTGCAGATTTCTGGTGCTGTTTCTTAAGATCGTTACTTTCCTTTTAAAAGTAGCAGAGTTTTATTACAATATATAGTAATAATGGTAAGGATTCTTAGCCGTCCTTGTCCTTTCCTTTCTTTTACAGTGGATACATATACTATAAAGCCCGAGTCTTTTGAGGTGTTTGCTAAATGGGTTGCTTTTATTTTGACCATTGAATGAGTAATTGAGCATTTCACAGGCCTTTGTCTTGATGTTTCCGTTGTGGGTTTTAAAGTTTAAAGTGTTTTTAATCTTATATTGCTCTTAACCTCAATATGCATTTTCATTCTTAAAGCCTATCAAACGCTGGATCTTTGATATTGCTATGCTGGTTGAATCTCATATTCAGTTATATTAGACTGGCATTTCAAGAAGTCTCATCTTTCTTGCTTGGCATGCGAAGACAAATTTTGTTCATTACAGCACTTAAATGCATACCGAGCCTATTTAGTTTTCAGTTTTCACCTTGTTTAAATTGTAAGTCCAGCCACAATGTTGTTGTTGAGTGGACACAGTGCAGCAATCTCAGTACTCAGCATTCTTGGTTATTAGACCATACACAAGGATGCCCACGTGAATTAGAAAGAATGAGAAAGAAAGAAATAAACAGAGAAATAGTACTAAATTACATGGTTGTGCTCTCCAAATTATGAGCATTCTTCAGTTAATGCATTAGATTTGCTAAAACTCTGATTATTCATTATTCAATGTTTATTGGGGGACAGAAGCTGCATTTAGATTGTGAACAGTTTGTCACCAACTAATATGGCTATGAGGCTGATTTAGCAGTAACCAGTTGGATGGTTTTCCACCTACTTCTGCTTAATTTGTTTCCTTTGTCCAGGAATCTCCTCTAGTGTTAGGTGCTACTGTGGCTGCCGCTGCCTGGAGTGGTAGATTTTTAATTGGAGCATGGCAAGCGTTCAAAGCTCGGCCTGTAGTTCCGCGTGTTCAAAGATTTTATAAAGGTGGGTTTGAGCAGAAGATGACAAGGAGAGAAGCAGCTTTAATTCTTGGAGTGAGGTAAACAGTTCGTATCCAAGTCTGATATTTATTTTTTGTTGGATGTATTCTGGGGGTTACTAGCGAACTGGTTATACATTTTCATTTTCACCTTATGCTAGTAGGCTAGTAGTAATGTGCTCGCTTGCTGGTTAAACTTGTCACACATTCCCAATTCATAGTTACCGGCTTCGGTAAACAACAGCATTTACATTGCTTCAGGCAATTGAAGGCGTAAAAATCAATCGATTTAAATTAACTTGGACAAATGAATGGTTTGGGTGAACTCCCCCTTTTTTGAATTATCGGTTCTCTCTTTGTGCATTAATACATAAATATCTTGTTATCTTTTGGAAAATTTTCCAATTCACTTGCATATATAATACGTGTGCTGCATTCTTCTTTCATTTCAGAGAGAGTGCTGTAATGGAGAAGATCAAGGAGGCTCATAGGAGAGTGATGGTGGCAAATCACCCTGATGCTGGAGGGAGCCATTATCTTGCTTCAAAGATCAACGAAGCCAAAGAGGTAATGTCGGGGAAAACTAAGGTGGGTGCCTCAATCTTTTAGGTGATACACAAAAGATATCAATACATGATTAAAGAGTCTTTTTTGTTTCCTTGTAATCTTCATAGCTTGTTGTAATTGTCCGAAACATGACTCTCGGATTCTTAAGTTCTAATTTCCCCTGAGATGGGAGTTTCGGGATAAACTGTTGGTTGGTTGAGGAAAAAAAATTTGGTGAAGTTGCAACATTCAACATTTCTTTTATTGGTTTCATAATAACTTGTGTTGTAAGGAGATAAACAAGAAAGATTGCCACTGATTTTAATCAGGAAGAGGCTCATCCAAATTTTAACATTTGAAACATAGAAACAGACGATCGGATACGGAATGAGACTGCAAAATTGCCTAAATATCCGAAAAAATCCTGACAATGGTATTGCATAATTAAGCATAAAAGATGGGAGTTGATCATAATCGCATGTCAAATATGATCTCTTGAAACATCTATCTCTTGGTTATCATTTCCAACTTAGAGAAGTTAGAAACAGAGTATTCCATTTCCAGAGACTGCAATTATCAGAACTAGACTTGATCTATTAATTGTGCTTCAGGATAATGTTGCAAAATTCTTCCATCTGGGCCGTACATATTTCCTCATATGTCCTGAAGACGTGATCACCTTTCTTGTTATAAATAGCATGACAAAAAGTTCGGAAGAAAATAGAGGTGTAATGTATAAGAAATAGAGACAAGCACGTCAGAGAAATTATTTTGTTGCAAACCAATCAGCAGGCGATTGCAGGCGACACCATCAGCGGGAAGCATTTGCCTTAGCAGCACACTCCCTGAAAGATGTTGATCCAAGTGGTTCACTGGCAAGTGTAGGGTAAAACCCTTTTTTTCTTCGACAATCTGCATTTTGAATTACAAATTGAGCCTAAAAAACCCGAAAGATTGCTTGCTAATAGCCTGCCGAAAAACATGTCTGTAATCCTAAATCCTAATCTGTCAGTTTAACTATGGAAATTCATCCTTCTTGAAATCTTGTTGGGAGATGACGAATATGTGATGCAGTAGGAAATGAGGTATATATCTTCGTTTCATTGTATTTTCTCTTGAAATGTTTCTAATTCAAGAGTCTTCTAATTTTATAATATTTACAAAAAAACCATATTGTCTTTAAAATATAATGTCTTTCAAATGTTAAAATTTTTCTTAAACTTTTCTATTTGAAACATTATATAAATAAAAATAATTATTTTTTCAACAAAATTCATTTTTTTATGAAGGTTTTAACTCATTTTAAGTTTTTAAATTATAACATGTTGTTTTTTAATTTATTTTTTATTGTTTTGATTTTAGTTTTTTCTTAGTTTTTTTGTAAAATCTATTATTATTTTCAATTTCATTCTTCAATCAAGAATTTATTTTTATTTTTTATATCAATTTTGATCTTAATTCTTTTTATTTTTTAGTCTTATTGATAAATTAATTTTTTTTTTCAATATCACATTTCAATCAAATATAAAATCTATTTGTATTTTAATTTTAATCTCAATTCTTTTAATTTTTATTTTTTAATCTTTTGTATAATTGAGATTCTTTTTTCAATTTTATCATTTAATATTTAATTGATTCAAAATTAAATTTTATAATTTTTTTCAAATAGAGTGTTTTTGGTCTAATGATCCAAGTTATAAGTTTGAAAAATTAATATGAATTTTTTTAAAAAAAATTATAATTTTTTTTATTTTTTATTAAGTTATTATAATCTTAAGGTTTGAACCGTAGGTTTTGTGGGATATCTCGGGTTATTTCGGCCTAAATTACCAGTGTTACAAGTTTAAGTTAATCAAAACTAATTTTTGATGTTTTTTAAATTTTATTTTATTATTCTATATTTAATAAGTTATGAACTGAAATATATTATTGTTTTTTTTTAAATATTTTTTTGAGATTATTATAATCAACTTTCTTATTAAATTTTATCCATATAATGCCATTTCTTTTATATATATTACGGTGGAGTGTTAATTTTTAATTGTCTATCACCAATTTTATTAAAAAATTAATTATTTTCTCTTTATTTCTACCAACATTTAGCCTTTTAATTTATAAAAACACTGAATATTCTTAAAAACTAATTTACAACCTTAAAAATTATTTTTGTAAAATTACTCCATAGTAATTCAACTTTATTTTTTCAAATCTTATATCAATCTCTACCATACAACGAAATAAAAGGTTCATAGACGGTTAAACTGGGTTTAAATTGCAGGGACTTTTAAATAATATATATTAAACAAGAAGTACTTAGTCAAAACAAAATCCAAATTTGGTACTTGGCTTTGTTTGGTAATTTAGTTTAACCTTGTTTTTTAAAGTTTTTGAATTTCAAAATAATTTTTTTATTATTTTAATATATTAATATCTAAAATAAATTTTTAAAAATAAATAAATATTATTTTAATAAATAAAGTTTTTTAAAAAATTTCTGCCACACTATTACATTGGTTATAATCAATGGCCGAATAAGGAACAGATGATGACAAGCATTAGAGCAATGACCTGAGAGAGGATGGTCTGCTGAAATGCTCTGCTACAGGTGCTTCTACTCTTCCCCTAATTACTCTCTCATTCCTTCTCCAACCATCAGCAACAAAAACAAGAAGTTGCTCTTCAAGACCTTTCCTTTTTTGTCCTCTCAAAAACCAAACTTCACTTCATCACTCTATTGCTCTCACTCTCTCTCTCAAATAATGGATTTGGACAACAAGGATCAAGAATCAACAGGTTTATTTGATTTCTTAAGCCAAAAGGCTTACACACCACCTTCATGGGCTTCCCTTTTGAATCCAACCCCTTCTCATATCTTCTCTCTTGGTCACCTCCCTACTCCTATTCACAAATGGAACCTTCCGAATTTGCCCACCAACACTGAAGTCTATTTAAAGGTAATCATTTTTTTATGATCTATTCAAGTTATTTCAAGAAATCCCACAGTGAAATTTTGATTCTTTCTTTTTGATTTTGGGGGTAAATGGATTTGTTTATGTAGAGAGATGACTTGTCTGGGATGCAACTGAGTGGTAACAAAGTGAGAAAGTTGGAGTTTTTAATGGCTGATGCTGTGGCTCAAGGTGCTGACTGTATTATTACCATTGGTGGTATTCAAAGTAATCACTGTCGTGCCACTGCTGTTGCTGCTAAGTACCTTAATCTTGATTGTTACGTCATACTTCGTACCTTAAAGGTTAAGCCTTTGTTTTTCTATGTTATGCTGTGTTCGTGCGTTTGTTTTCGTTAGTAAGATGAATGATTTTGATGTATCTTTCAGGTTTTTGTGGACAAAGATCCAGGATTGACAGGAAATCTCTTGGTGGAGAGATTAGTTGGAGCTAATGTTCAACTTATTTCAAAAGAAGAATATGCACAAATTGGGAGTGTGGTTTGTTTTCATTACCCAACAATTCTTGATGCATGTGTATTGGTGACTGTCATGATGTCATACATTTTTTGATGGCTTGTGGATGACCTATATCTTTACCCTACCCTATTATTATTGTGCTTTTAGCATATCAAAATGTTGTTCTAGGGATATAAGAAAATGCGGGGACTCATCAATCTACGTAGAACGCTATTCTTTAACCTTGAATTGCGTCTTGATGTTATAAAAAATACAGCTTCCGAAAGTGTGTTTAAAACAATAGCATCTAATATGAGCTTATTCAGTTTCATCATTTATGCAAGCAATTATCTGAAAGCAATCACCATCACCCTGTGATCTATCATGTATTACTTTCTTCATTTATTATTTGTGGCTCACTTTTATTTTAGAGATACATGCTCCTATGTCTATGTTCTAGGTATTTTTGGAAGTTACACTGCATGAGATTCCATTTTTCTGCTGGAATATTCACGACTTGTTTGCATCTTCTGATTTCAGTTTCTTTTAAGGTTCATGAAATGGATCTATTTGCAGCTGCAAATTGAGTCTAATATTGTAGATTTGACATGGTTCTCAGTCTATAGCCTTGGAAAGTTTTCTTTCATTTTCTATTCAGAGAATGCATAAATTGATGTTTTTTTTTTATATTCATCCAATGCTTTGACTGTTAATGTGACTTTCAATTGGCTTACTGGAGGAACTGGTTTTGTGCACGTTTATTCATCCTGTGGTATCAGAATCTCACCAATGATTTAAAAGAAAAGTTGGTGAAGGAAGGGAGAAAACCATATGTTATTCCTGTTGGTGGATCAAACTCCTTAGGAACCTGGTGAGTCTAGATAACAAAAGTACTCCTCATTTTCTATACCGTTACAATTTTGATGAACTTTCTACCTATGTTCATCACAAATTGAATTAACCCAATTGTTTCAAGTTGTTTACCAATGTCAGTATTTGACAATCATACCATTTGAACAAAAATCTTTTATGCATCTTCCTAAATTGGTCTGTGTTTAATCTTGTGAAATCGTTGAAGCATTATTCTGTATCCATTTTGTGATTGCTCATTTAAATAAATGAACATGCCTGTGTAAACTTGGTTAGCCCCTTTGTTTCTGCATGTCGCTAGTTTTCTTCTATAATTTAAGTTTATTTCATTCAGGGGTTACATTGAAGCTATCAGGGAAATTGAGCAGCAAGTTCAGGCTACTACAGGCAGAATAAAATTTGATGATATTGTTGTAGCATGTGGCAGGTTCCACTCTATCCTATCTATTAAAGTTTCAGAGAAAATGACGTGCTCTTTATTATTCTGTTTTTCTTCTTCTTCTTTTATTTATTTATTTTTTATTTCACTATAATATGAAAACTCACTAATCTAGATGAAAGTGTCTTTTCCTTTTTTTCATGGTAGAAGGATATGCAAGTGTATGTCCAATGTAAATTAAGACTATAATCAGATCTCGCAATCAATACATTTCTGAGTTGTGATATGTGATGTGGTACAAAAAATTCTATCTCTTCAAGAGCACTAGTGGAAGAGAAGTTTTGAGGCAGTAAGCATTCTAGGCTCTAAATATATGGGGAGACTAGTTAATGTTTCTTCCTGTTGGACCATTATTGCTTCATATAGCGTTTTAGGTAGCCTGTAGCATTATAAGAGCACCTTCTCTAGAAAAACCATGTATACTGTTTAATCATGTCTCTTAACAATAAGCCTGACATAATAGCTCCATTTTACAAAATCTCATCCATTTATCTATTTCAATAAACCATTCTATGTTATGATCATGATTTGACTTCTGTGCAAGTGTGCATTGTTCAACTTAGGTGATTGTTATATCCAGAGTTTCTGTCAAGCCTCTTCTAAATACCACACAATCCCTAAACTTATAACTTCTCATCATAAGTGCCATCAAGGCTCCAAAGTTGGTCACCGTCAGCATATTCCAACTTAAAACCACCATTCTGTTCAATATCCTTAGCCATCTGGCATCAGGCCTTGATGTGGTAGCACCAGTGCTGGATGTGTTCACTACTTCTGTTATTCCTTTTTCTAGAGCATTGTAAAATGAGTTTCTATATTCATTGTTGCTCTCTTCAAGTCACTTAATTGAGCTCAATTTCGCTGCTATCTGCAACATGGATGTCTTCACTGCACTTCATCACTACTATTAGGGGCTTTCTCCTGCGTCCCCATTTTACCTCATTGTTTCTGTTTTATCCTCACCTCCACTATCACATCTTCACTGTAACTTTAAGTTGGGCTGACGCATCTTTAAGTGGACAATGGGGAAGCATATATGTATGAGAACTCAGCTTAAACGTTGTCAGCCAAGATTTGATCAGTTGAAGACTATTATCACAATTATTTCAACTGTTGTCTTTCCTTTAATCTTAATTTGAATTTGAGATTATTACTGAAAGGTCACAAAAAATCTGCAAAAGTATGAGATGGTTTTAAATTATGGGTACAAGCATCTGATCTGATCATTTTGATGTTTGAAGTTGCTGCTTATTAATGCAATTAAACTTATTGAGTGGAATCTGTGTTAAATGTTGTTCGCTCATGGGCTTTGAGCAATCAAGCTTTTCGTGTTGACAGTTGATCAACAAGATACAAAT